GCATACTTTCATTTTATTTTACGTCCGTGGCTTTTTGCAACAACTTGACAGTTTCTGCTTATCCACCCTCAAGGGCCATCTGAAACAGACAAATCCATCTGCTTGGAGTAAGCACCGTGGCGAGAGGGTGCTCAAGTTTCATTAAATGTAGCAGAAGCTTTTCTATTAGATTATAAACACTCTGCTTTCTGTTGGGGCTGTTTTCATCCTGCTCAAGCCATGAAGAAATAGGCTGATTTTGTAGACACGCAGCTAGTTCTGAACTTTGGCAAGGATGGGTGCTGCCAACTAAGGCACAGCCACCAGAGCAAGGACATTGTTAATCCGCAATGGGATGGAAATAAACTCTTTTTCTGCTCCTCTCTACCTGTAGACACAGGTAGATTAAAATTCAGCTCTTGATTTTAAATATGACGCAAGTAATCTGTCCAAATGGAAAGGAATTTATTCTATACAAATAGGTGATAGTTATTTGCCAGCTTGAAGTAAATAAGAACCCATCTGTGTTTTATAACTGCTATCCAGAGATCTGAGCAGCCAGTCAGGCCAGCGAGTCCCTGGCAGCTCCAATCTGTGTTAAAAGATTTCAAGGTGTAAAGAACACTGTTTGTTTACTAACCTTTTGGTTATTCTAGTCATGTTGCAACTGCCTGGTGATGTTGTTAAGACCCTTTTCCATGCTTTTTCAGGCCAATAAATTTTTTTTTCCAAAGCTTTAGTCATCCCTGTTCAGTAGCATGTTTGTATCTGCTTTATCACACTGAAAATCTGTCTGTTTTGAAAGGATTACAACTCTGTACATCAGTGCATGACATCACACTGAGACATTGCTTAATGATCTGAGACTCTGATGGTCATTGCTGCAGCTGCTTGTTTCTGGAAATGTGTGACAGCTCTGGCCTATCTAAGCCTTGCTTACAGTTGCATTTTTAGCCCATGCTGGTGGGTGTGTGTTTTAAGGCAGTGCTCACAAAATAGTTGATTGTGAAATGTGCCATCTGCAGAGGGAAGGCAACGGGGTGCCAAGTAGACATGGGATACAAGGAAGCCCAGCGGCTCTGCAACCCAAGTTAGCTTTGGCCCTAAAAGCCTTTCCTTTATTTCTTTTAACACTTAATAATGACAGCACTTTGAAATAAGAACATCACTTGCATCCGATGCTAGGAGGTGCTAATTGTCTTCCCTAAATTCGCAGCCAGCCTGTTATTGAGTAGACATAGGGAAGGGCTGTCTGGGCAAGCTGAGGTTACTGTAGCGAGCTGTAATTCCAGTTTTGCTAAAAAGTTTAAAACTAACATAGGTCAAATCTTCAATAAACTTTGGACTCCTTCCTTTTCACTTGTGGTCCTGAATTCTTGGAGGTGATTTGCCTTCAGATTTTCAGTTCATTTGTATGAAGAACTCAAACAAAACATGGTGCATTTAATTAAACTTCTGAGGACTTGCACCATACATCTGCAAAAGTCAAAAGGGAATTTAAGCAGCAGGAACACCTGCAGCCCTGCATCCTAGTTGTCTGTTGATATGACCCTACCTTTCTTGGATGAATTCGTCCAATAAGTCAAAATTCATTTTGCTTTAGACTGGCTAAGGACTCCTTACACTGGATATAATTTGTTTAGGTCTGTCTCGAGGGATAATGATGTGACTTACATAAAGAGTTGTAGATAGAACATCTCAGGACCTGAAAAGGAATAAAGTTAGGTCTGCACTTTTAGGTTTGCACTCCAAAATTTTATTCGTGACAGTTTTTTATTGTGATTATGATTTTTACTTTTCCCTCCTTCTGGAAGTATTAATTGTTGCCTGGGAGTTGAGTGAGTTGTCAAGCGGGTATACCAAGTGTTCTCTGAGTGCAGTGGGAGACATAAAAAACATAGCGAAAAAACACTGATAGTAAAATTAACTGGATGAAGGGAGGCATGAAAAGAAATGGGAGACAGCATGACAGGCGAGGATGGAGATGTGCAAGCCTTTGCTGGTGCAAAAGTTAGGACAGCTGAATAATTTAACCTAGAGAATCAGAACAAGGTTGAGAAGAAAATAGAAATGAAAGGAAGCCAATGTGAGATACAGTCTAAGCACTCAAATAATCTTCTTAAAAGTATCTTAGTCCCTCTTTAGCTGCCTACCTTTTCCCTTTTCCTCTTCTAAATAAAAATGTTTAATTTTTTTTTTATTATTATAAAACCGCTGACTTGACCTCACTTTATGTGCCTCACAGACTTTTTGAGCACAAAGAAATTCGAGTAGATACAGAAGTAGTTTTGTCTTTTAATTTAGCTCTTTCTTTTATGTGAAATAGTCCTTTTTTATAATTCACTTCTTTTGCAATTTTCTAAATTTGGGTCATGTCCCTTGCTTTTCAGATAAAATAGAAATATTGTTAAAAGATTTATCTTCTCTGCCATTATCAAACCTTTTTATAACTTTGAATAACTTTTCTTAAATCAGCTTGACTTTTTTTTTCTTTTTCTTTTTTTTTTTTTTTTTTTTTTTTTTTTTTGGGCATTAGAATAAGTTCTTCCTAGGTCTGGACACAAGTTAATCATAAATCCCAGGATCCTTCTTGTTGTTCCATCTCTGCAGTGTAAAGGGTGTCAAATTCATGCATTTGCTGTTTGGGAGGAGACGTACATTTTGACTTCATGGCTTCGACACTATGCATTTGCTAGCTATTCCTCTGTTGATGTAATTGTTTTAATGAATAACAATCACAAAATGTGCAGAAGTCCTCAGGTCTGTAATAATCCCTCCAGTAGCCCGTTTTAGGGCTAGTAGAGTATGTCTGTTCCTTACAGGGTTTAGTTCAGTACTTCTGGGGTTTATCTTCTGTTTTTCTTTGCCGTTGGATAACTGCTCCAGTGTCACTTTTGCATTGTGATCCCTTAGAGTTTGAAACAACCTTGATTAATGAAGGCTGATTATTTACTGATCATCTTGAGTACTTCAAGGTGTTTACGTATGGCACTTTTCTGGTAATTTTGCACCAAAGTTCAATGACATTTCTCTTTCAAGCATATGTTCTTATACCTGATATACTAATACTTGAAGTATTTTGCTACATTTAAGTGCAGTTTATCTTACCGAAAACACTGTCTGTGTGGAAAGTATTGGACTACTTGTTTGTCAGATTAACAATACCAGTTTTAAAAATCAACAGACCATTTAAAAGTATTTTGTATGTCTTGTACTGGATTGTGCTGATTGCATTTAAAATGTGCAGTGTATAGCAATACATGGGAAAAAACAAGTGGTTGTATAGTAAAGCTGGGCAGAATTAGACAATAAGGAATAAATTTACATAACATAAAACTGCAAATGGAGATAAGCTGTTTCACAAATTAAATTGAATTAAGGAAATAGAATTAGCAACACACCTACAATGAAGTGGGAATTTTGAAAATGCCACAATATTTCATTTCCACCTGTTCTAAATAAAACTTTCTTTTAATTGTACTTTTCAAAATGGCAATTTGCACATAGAAGTTGACCTACCCTACAAATAAAGCATTTCTTAAAGCTCCCATTTGCAAAAAAATCAAAGAAAACACTTCCCTAAATTCCTTCCTTTTCTTTGCCTTTGGGCTCAAAGAAAAGGAAAAAAAACCCAAACCTTTTAAAAAATTAGCCTTTGCTAGAACCTTGCTATTTTTTTTCTTTTTGGCCAACCAAGCACTGATAAGCTCCATTTAATGGCACTGAAAAGAGTGGGAGGTAAAGTCTCAAACACCTACAGCCTCCAATCCACTGCACCTACCAGTCCCGAAAGACACGGAAAACAGTCACAAATGGACTCCAGAATCGTCTCTTTTCATATGAGAGAAGACATGGGATATAAATTCACCATGTTTATTGTACCCTGCATCCAAGAACAGGAATCTATTGAATTGCTTTCCGTTGTCTCCCTGCAGATTTCTCTTTTGAAGCAAAGTAAGAGCTGACCATTCCTCATCAGCTCTTTTGAAATAAACAATGAAATGCAGGGTTTAAGAAGGCCATAAGAAGAGATTAAAATGCTTCTGGTTAGTCTTGATATAACATATTTGTTTGTCAGGCTTCCTGTGATTCCCACATTAACATGTTTGAAATATGGTGGGGGTTGTAGGGATCAGGTACGAGCTGCACAGCTGGGAAAACGGCAACGAGATTAATAAATATCCACTTTCCCTCTGCCCCGTGAAATAAGCCATTCCTGTGCATATTTCATTATGGTTTCACATAAATCTGCGCTATGGAGAGCAGATTACCTGCAACAGGCGTTGTGGAAAAACGGATGCTTTTGGAGAATGCAAGGTTCTGGGTGTGCCGGTCGGTAGCGGCACGTCCAGGGCTGAGCCCTCCCCAGCCCGCCGGCATCTCCGGGGCATCAGCCAGCACCAGTCTGCTGCCTGAATGTGTTCCTGTGTATGGCACTGTCAGAGGGATTGCTTTCTACTGGCCTCCAAGCCTTTTAATGCTTTCAGGCTGATCAGTTTAAAAGACTTGTTAAAAACAGAACTAAGGGATGACAGGCTCTTATTGATTGGGGAAAATAATCAAATTTTATATAGGTAGGGCCTTCAGACATTGTAATGAATTTGATGTGAATAAAGATCTGACGGTACTACAGTTTATTGATTGAGAAAAAGTATCTTTCCTGTTTATTCAGTAGCAGAGATCATTAGGACTTTTCTCTTAATTTCCCTCTATGTTAAGTCTGACACTAGCACATCCATTCCTCTTCATTTCTAGGAGTAACATATACTGAAAAGATGCCAGCAACTTTTGATGACTTTTAGCAATAGCCTTATTCATCTTATCCTTACACCATCTGAAGTTTCTTTATAAGTCAAACAGCTTTATTCATCTTTAAAAAACCAAAGATCTTTGTACTAAATGCTTGGAAATTATTTTTAAGTCTGTACTCGTGCACTGCAGTAGCAGTCCTGTGCTAAGAAATTACAGTCACAGATGGCAGTTCCCAAGTATATTGATCATTTCCATCCTCCCTCTTTTAGCAACAGATCAACCCCTAACAATCATGACCGGATACAGCGCCTGAGACAAGAGTTTCAGCAAGCAAAGCAAGATGAGGACGTGGAAGACAGGAGACGTACTTACAGCTTTGAGCAGCCGTGGGTAAGTGTATGGAGCCTGTCAAACCTGGAAAGGCTGGCTGACTCCCGCTGTCCCCAGGCCGGTCGGGAGCAGACCGACAGGGACGCAGGGTCCTCTGCCTCCACACTCGTGCCCTTTCTCTTATCCCCATTTTTGGTTCATTGATGTTTATTTCACTTTTAAACTTCAGCCATCTGTCCTGTGTGGATATAGCATTATTTACTCTGTGTTTAGACCTTGACTCTGTGAGTTACTACTTGGATTTTTTTGCCTCAAAGGCAATATCAATGATTCTGAAATTTTCTAGGAAGATCAGAATAAAACACATGCTAACGATAAATAACTTAGAGATAACACGTAACCTTCTAAATGGTATTTTCTCTGAAGAAGTATCACTGTGATTAGTTCTTTTCCTTAAGAGGAAGAGCTATGTATTTTCACAGTAAAAAAGGAGAGATATGCATAATAGCATGCTTCACAATAGTACCCCTTTGCCACTTATATTAGCCGAGACAGTTCTGTCTTGAGATATACGTCCTAATTGATCATTTAAATCCTGTTCAATCTGATCTAACGATGTGATACAATTATGTAAATCCACATGCTTATCTTGTTTAATATAATTGAATGAATCAGTGTTGGTTTTTAATCAATTATGTATCCTAAATTAAGATCCTTTAAATATGGGACAAGTATTTTACTGTATTTTTGTTTAAAAATTCCACAGTAAAGACAGTGAAAAATTTGCTTGCATTCCCAAAAAAGTGGGAGCTGTATGATGACAGCAGTAGTATCTCTCACAGCTTCCTCTGAAGCGGGTGTAGGTGATGGGTTATTGTTACTTAGCATTACGATGCACACGAGACCAAGGTGGAAATAGCCAAAGATCCACATCTGTGTGTATGAAGTCACTGAGAACAACCTAGGTAACATCATAATGCATACGTCATCTTTGTTTGCCTATTGTGGTGAATATAGAAGATTTTTTGAATTTTGTTGGGTCTTTGTGTCCTTGTCCATCTTAAACTTACCAGTTTGAACCTGTGGTATTTTTGACATGCAGCATGGAGAGGAACAAAGGTAAATGTATCCCTAAATGACCTAACACTGCTTAACATACTGTATCAGTATACAGGCTCCTCTTTTCCCATGTTAGAAAACCTCTAACCTTCTCTGCAATTGAATAAATAAAATAAACATTTTTTTTATGACCAGATGTTTTCAATTTGATGTGGTGAAGATAATGTGATGGCTTATCACAGTTATAGTGTAGCAGGTTTGGGGTGAAAGGGGGCTGGGTGTAGGAGGTACTTTCCATTATGCATATCAACTGCTGTTTGGTCTCCAAACGAGAGATTTGAGCAGCATTCTTGGGAAAACTGTGTATGAGAAAAACTTGCACTCTTGAAGACTTGGGAACTTAACTACTGAAGGTCACGGGCCAAATTGTTGTATATCTAAATGCCATAGCAACTTTAGACAGGCAACTTGGCTTTTATTATAGTTTCTTGTAATGAGCGAGGAGGGAATTATTTGGATGACAGGCTGATTACCTTAGGAATGGAATAATTTCCTAAATTGTGGGTCAGAACACTGACCTTTCCTTTTTCTCTTATTTAAACAAATGGGATCTCTATGTTTAGTCCCCTTCTACAGATCATGCAAATGAGCTCAAAGTGACTAATTCAGCTTAATGTATTAATATTAATTCTGAAGCTTATTGTTGCTTTTGTAGGAGCTGCTCTGTTGTTAAATACGTAGGTGACCAAATGTTTTATTTTAGATAAGTACTTTAAAAAAATTGGCCCCGAGTATTTTTGCATTGTAATTTTTTTTTCCCATCATGTTCTCTAGCCTTTCAAGATCACAATGCTTGGAAAGGATAAAGCAATGATCTCATCTATTTCAGCAGTTCACAGTCATTTCAGTGTTAAGGAGCCATAACCCTCTCTTAAGGAGTGTGTATTACTTTAACTTATTAGCCTGAAATGATGGACTTTATTAAGACACCCTCTCAAAACAGATCCAGATGTATTATTAAATACCAGTGACACAAAAAAATGCAAAAGTGGTTTATAATACGTGTGCAGGAAAATGCTTAGATACATTCATCAACATCTTTTCAGTCTTCTCCATCTGTAAGCTGTTGGTCACAAGCCACAGCAGTGAAAAGTGCACCAGTACATGGACCGTTGTTGAAAAGTGTCTTTTCACCTGAGGGAGATGGGTTGTGCAGCCTACATAAACAACAGGCTTTACATCCAGAGAAGCCTCTGAGCCGCATGACCGCAGCCAACTCTGACCTGGTTTGGGTAGAAAGAGAGGGAAAACCCATCCACGGAGAAGTGTGTGCTATGAGGTGATAAGTAGTTTGCATTTCTCATTAACAAGCCGATGGGAGGGTTGAGGATAGGGAACAAAGTGCTGATGTGATGTGGGACTATTGGTTACTTTAAGGAAGTGTAGATGAACACAAAGTTTGCAATGTAAGTAATGGATACTGATGGAAATCTAGCAGCTCTGAGGATATTCAGAGGAGCTCAATAGCTCAGAAACCCGCTAATATATTATCAAAATGTGAACATCTCCAACTCCAATCCATCCCGGACTATTAATGGCCTGTGAGGCAGGAGTCCAGTTACCTGTGACAAATACCTTCGAAGGTCTCCTCCACGGGTTGGAGGCAGATCCCCGTACCACGGCGCACTACATCATGCTGGCTCTGAGCGATACCTGTGGCAGAGAGACCGGCACCTGACCCCATCCCTTTCTGGCTGTGCCCATCAGGTGAAGGTTATTTCTCTGCAGATGAGCAATGCCACAGAGCTGGACTTTTTGCCTGGCTGTGTTTGCCCTGCCAGTGAACAAAATACTGGACTGTCTATGAGTGTTCATACAGCAGCAGGCAGCTTAACAGACACAAAAAGCGATAGCGCTGGAATGAGATGACACCATCTATTAAGCAGCGTAACATTTCTGCTCAAGGCCATTTGAATGATATACTGTTAAGTTTTAATAACTGACTAACTGTCGCAACATTGAGGCATCTCTAAAATCCACTGGTTCTGCAACTGAGTCAAAGCTTTATGAAAAGGTTTTTGCATTTGTTTACTTTAAGATAACTTTCTCAGGCTTCCTGATATTTTTTTCTCTTTCATGGCTTTTTTATTTTCTATGTTTCAAAAGACAAGGTGCAAGAAGGTTTCAAGGGCAATACTGTATGCCTGATGTTACACAGGAAAAAAAAAACAACAAACAAACATAAAATGTGATTAATCCATTTCAATCCTGCTGGTGTTAATTCCAGTCAGAGTTTGCAGAAGTGTGTATCTGGGCATGTAGAATTGCATGGAATCACGGTATGTCTGCTAATATTTAAGGCCCTTGCTGTTGCTATGACATTTTTATACCAATGCAGGATTCTTTGGGCGCTGATTTTTCTGTTTGGTACCAAATTTGAGCCTCTGGTTTTTGTTCTTTTCTGGGTAGAATTGGGTCTGCTGAGGTTTATTCTTCCTTGCACCAGTCCTGGGGTTTGGGGGATTTTGGTTGTATTTTGTTCTATATCTTTTATTTTTGCCTAGTCACATCTTAATTAACAGATCCTCACCTTCAATAACAAAAACGCAGCGCTAGAACCCTAAATGTCATGGGAGTGAACAATCCAATTAAAAAAAAAGAGCATATTAAATCCATTGAAAACACTACAACTGCTTGCCAGTCCTGTTTGTAGAAGCATACCAACGATCAAAAAACCCCACAAAGATGCAGAAGGAACAAAACTTGGTGGCTTATTTCTTCATCTTTAATTAAAAAAAGCAGTGCTAAAAATGGAAAGTGGCAAATTCCATTCACAAATACATTCATCTCCAGTCATCCTGGATCTATTTGGATGGTGGGTGAAAATTGGCATCGAGAGAGCAGCTGAGCAAACTCTACTTTAAATATTTAAGAGTCAAATAAAAAGACTCTTTTTTCTAAAGAGAACAACTAACTTGGTCAAAATAAATATACTACCTGATTCGTCTGAGTATAGCTTTAATTACGTGTACAAATTTGTGAAAGGTAAATAATTGCATGATTTTCATAGAGGAAAGACTCCAGAAGTCCTAATAACAGACTTAGGCATGCCCTGATAGAGAAATGCTCAGGAAATTTAGCGACCATGCCTTGTTTTTCTGCTGTTTGTTGGTGTGTAGATCTTTTCTCTAAGACAGATTTCAAGAAAAAGAAATTCTTTTTTATCTGTTTATGGTACTCATTTCTTATCCCTGTATTCAAGTCCTTGACCTAGTCAAAGCCAATATGAATTCTAAATAATCTAAAATTCTTTCAGTAAAAAAGAAGCCTGATTTTTATTGTTGTAACTTTGACTGTAGCATATTAATTTTACCTGAAAAAATAATAATAGACTATACTCAAAACAAACATTATAAAGTTTATGTCAGGCTGTAAATTATGTAGAATTACTCAACACATTAATGAGAAAGAAAAGGAATATATCAATTGTTTCTCTTATGAATCCATTTCAAGAATCTCTTTCAGGGTATTTTATTCAAGATACTAGGCAATATCTAATGCAGTAGACAAAGAATACTTTAGGAGCTAAATTGCCATTTCTCCTACCCCAATCTTTTTCAGAGAGGAAACCAAAATTACGCAGGGCACCCTCTACACAGGTAGTTTCTCTTCAGCTGTGTAGTTAATATCCATTCTGTGTCAAATCTGCAAAGGATTTTGTGAAATACCAGCAATTTTCTTGCCAAGATTCAGGCTCTGACTTTAAAATTTTATATTTTAAACTTTTTTCCCCCACTAGTTTCAATCTACTAATTTATGTGAAACAGAAAATGAAGATAGAAGATTTTAAAAAGAAATGAAATAATCTTGGTTTGTAAATAAACATATTTATAGCTCACAGGCATGCAGTGCATGTAAATACCCCAGGCAGAACTTCAGGGCTAAGTGGTTTGTTTCCACCATATGAAGATTTTCATTCTGCTGCTGCTATACGCAAAATGGAAATCTTTATCCTGTACCACACCATTCAGCTTCCTACATATACACCATAGAAAGATACACAAAGGGATGGGATTTTCTTATATGGTGTCAGAATTAATACACACACCTGTTGGCAATTTTTAAGAGAAATATTGCTATACGTTCTGTTTACCATAGCAACATAAACAAACAGATGGAAGTAAAAATAGGTATCAAGGACATCTCCAGAAGAACTGAATGTTTTTTATCATTCTGAATTTTTATATACACAGTTACTGGATTGTCTGTCATCTGTGCAAAGTACGTTTGCACATAAAGCAGGCAAGGTCATTTAATTTTATCTATTTCTAATTAGTGCTGAACTATAAGAACCACAAACTTTTTGGGGGCCTTGTGTCTACCAACTTCCTAGGTGAACTTGAAACTTCTTGGTTAAACACAGAGCTTAATCTGGAAAAAAAACCAGCACATTTATTTTAATATTAAATAATGACCTTTTTTAATGACTGGAAAAATACTAAGGGACTTGTTCCTTTAGTAATCTCCCCATTAACTGCTTCTTTATCAACACAAAGGAGTTCTATCAGTCTGAGTAAGCATTTCTCCCAGCTTCTCGCTATGGCAGTAGGCTGTCAGATAGGTGTGTCACCTCAACTGGTGGATCTCCTGTCACCTGAACTGATCGGATCTCCCTGAAAACCCAGCGCCCTGGATCGCCCCCGTGATCTCCCCTCTGTAATTCCGTGGCAACTTTGATCTGTGCCAGTCCTGGAGGATCCATGCTGCCACCATGCAGAGCTACCCTCCGTGGGCAGAAATGCTGCCCTGCAGGGAAAGAAACTTTCTGGGCAGCCATCGTTTTATAGCTAGGAAAGAGAGGAGGGACCTTTATCCTGAAAATATGCTGCCCTTTACTGCTGATAGTGGTCCGTGCAACAGGAGCCATGGGGGTACATTCTCTGTGAAATGAAAAAATGTTGTTTGCATGAAGTGAGAAATCTTTGCAGCCCTGCTTTTAAATTAATGCCTCTTTGAGAAGAGAGCTGTGTAATTTCTTGTATCTTAAAGCCCAATTTTACATGCTGAGTATTGTTTAACAACGCTGAATGCAATAACTATCATTGCCACTTAAATGTATTGTGGAAGACACGAACATACATTTATTTGTATAATGCAGCCTTGGTTGTTATTGTGGCCTTGACCGCATCCTGATTTAAAAGGTCAATGCTTGTCATACATCTCATCGCAAACAAGGCCAGAGTTCTTATCAATCTGTACTGTGAAGACCAAGCTGTTGCCAGGTTTGTTGGATGATTTCAGGTCGTTATAATTGTACTTCTTAGCCTTGCATTGATATCAGTGTTAAAATTACTGTGTTATGTGTATTCCTTATTCATGTTTTTTTGTTGCTGTTGAAAAATGTGAAAATAGTTCAACTGGTTTTTTTTAATTACCTCCATTTTGTGCTGATATAAATGGGGTATGCATGTACATAGATGTATGTTTGTGTATATATTTTATATAAATATATATATATATAAAAGTGTACTTTAGGGATTGAGACAAAATTACCAATTAGCTTTTGAAGACTAAGGTTACTTATGATATAAATATTTTTGGTTTAGACACTTTAATTGAAAGAATATTGAAAAGATAAATCACTGTATGGAGATTTGCATTTTTCTGAACAAGTTAAGGATCCAAAAAGGAATATGTTAAGTCTTTATATCATCATAACCATATATCAAGGGCATTCATATGGTATCACTGAGGTTTTTAATGAAAAGATTTGAAAGAAAAGCCTTTTCATTAATAAGATGGTTGAATGTACCTGTCTCTGTGTATATATGTTATGTTATGGAATATGTGATTACATACAGAGGGAGTATTTTTATGTCTCATTGCCATATCTTTGGATGCTTGAAATCAGATAGCAGATTCGATTATATCAACAGCTTATTGTAGATGTGAACAACATGCAGACAGGACTCTAAATAAGTATCCTTTTCAGATTAGTTAAGTATTGCAAATCCACTTAGTTTAACAGGGCATGCAGGTATTCATACCTTCAGAAGATCAGATAATGGGTTTTAGATGTTTGCCTTTAGACTCATCAAATTATAAATGCTGTCCATTAGATGAAATTCTTTGTGAACTGCAGAGAATCCAGACCTGACTCCTCAGATCCAGTCATTCTGGGCATGCGCTACAGCGGGCAGACAGGCGTGATAGCCCCTGCCTCTATTTAACCATTGGTTCCTGTGAGCATTAAAAAAAAATCTCTGAATTTACGTTTTGATCTTAGTCCATTCGTAGTCCCTTAGGGCATTCAAAGCCTCTGTTGCTTTATTAAAGGCTTTTGTGGTAACTTCAGCTCTCTGCACGTGTGTGTGCATGTACTTGCATTTACGCTTTCTAGATGATGCATTTTAGTGTCTTGTATAAACCAAAATTGAGCAGCAGGTCAATTCTGGCTCCACCTGTTTGGTAATTTAACCATTCCTGTACTGAAAAAATCCTTTATCTGTTATATTTACAGTGAACTGAAAAAAGCCAAACTGTGTTTTCAAATAGAGAGAAGCAATTCTGATGTCATGTCTTATCTGTGATAACTACTTTCTCACATACGACATAAAGTAGCTGCAAGCTTTCCAACATTGTTAAAGTGGAACTCATGAAATGAGGAGATTGGCTCTAAAATCTTAGTTTAAATTTTTTTATTCCTTATGGAGAAGTTGCGATGGGAACTTCTGAGTTTCCCTCTGGTTCTCTGTAAGCTGCTTATAACCACACTGGAGAGAATTCACAAATAAATCTTGTGATTTTCAGGTAATCACTTGCTTCCATAAGCTGAGCCCTTCAATAAAATACCAAATGTCAGAAGACTTTCAATAAAGTCAAGAAAGTTAGAAATGTTGACATATGCAATAACTGAAACGCTGCTCTGTATGTGTTGCCCTTATTTAATATAGTAGGAAATCTCCATGGGAGTTGTTGGTTTGGACATACATATGTACAGCTTATTCATCTCTAAGAAAATTTCCCACAAGGCTGACACACGATCCTGTTTTCTCAACTTGTTGCTTCATCATACCATTCCTAAAGCATTTTTCATTAGAAATACTGTTTTACCAAGGTTTTTACAGAGTAAATCTATTCTGAAGTAGACATCAATGTTGCATTAAGGATTCTCTTAAATAAGTTCTCCGTTACTCATAGTCTATGCTTTCACATTCTGATTCTTTTGCACAGTAATCTTCTCATAACAGGAAAGGCAGTTGTTCACCAAATTGTACCTGTTGAATTCTGAGCCAAGACTGATGCTTTTTCTGTCTGAAGTGTATTGTTATTGAAAATGAAGTTTCTAAAAGTTGTACACCTGTTTCAGATTTGTTGTGTTTCTGGCTACGTGCAGGTACTTAACTATATAGAAAGACAAAGGAGAAGTTTACATCACAGATGACAACTTTCTAGTTTCTAAAACTTGTCTTCAATGTAGGAATCTTTTGAAAAGCCTTTTATCTTGCAGATATTTGTGAGCCATTATGATAACTTTCTGCGGCAGAAATTATAATGGCAAAAAACAAGAGATGTTTGTTTTGAGGGAAGGCACAGATAAAAAAGGCACAAAGTGCTTTAACAAAAGCAAGTCTGAGACAAGCTGTTTCAGTCCCAGGCTCAGACAAGTGGTTGTGCTCCCTAACCTCCCAGTGATTAGACTTATGTGTTTTGAATAGAACTGGTAATTTTAAGGAGATAGATAAAATAATGCTTTATTTCTTTGTTAGGTGAAACCTTATTATTAAAACAACAAGAAAAGCCCATAACATTCTTTGACTTTTGTGGCACCCTATTTTGCAGCTGGAAATCACAAAATCTGAAGAAACTAGTAACATCAAATGAAAAGTGGTATCTCTACAAAAGTAAAGTTTTTCATAATCCAAAGTTCGAATCCAGCCATTCTGCCAGATCTTCACCAGTAATTCTCTGTATTCCCAGAAAGGCCATCCATTTTTCACCTGCCCTCAGTACTGGCCTCAAAGTTTCAAATTGTCACCTTGTTAAGATGTTATCTAAAATCCTTCTCAGAGATACAGGATTCCCCATTGTCCATAAAAGACTTGCTAAATTTATCTACTTGATCATATCCAACCAGAAGAAGTTTCCCTGTCTCTCAGAAAAGCAAGTGGTGCATGTCTGGACCAACAGCAAAATAGGATGGGTCTAATAAGGGAGAGATCACTTGAGCGTACTGGTGAGGTTCGAAAGAGCTGCTGTGCTCCCGCCTCCCTCAGATCCTCAGTGGGTTGTAAAACTTAGCATTACCATGGCTAGGCTAACTTACAGTGTCTGAAGATCTGTTCCACTGATTTAATTTAAATGTCAGTGTTACTATAAAAGCATAACCCATTCTGGACCAATATTTTCCTGATGCATCTCAGAAATGGTAGGTCAGAAACAGAATCTGTAGCACAGGCCACCGTTACAGATCAGAAAATAACCTAATTATTATGAAGGAGCTACTTGAACTGCGTGTTGAAACAAATATGACTGTAGGTGTACAGTAGCAATTTAAATGATAGCTCTTCTGTGGGTATTTTTCTGCTTTGTTTAAGACAGTTTCATTTTCATTTTGTAGCCAAGCACCAAGACGTACTCACAGAGTGGCAGACACTCAGTATCAGTAGAGGTTCAAATGCAGCGGCAACGGCAAGAAGAAAGAGAGAGTTTCCAACAAGCTCAGCGGCAATACAGCTCATTACCCAGGTATGGTAACTGTCTGAAGCTATTCAGTGTATATGAGCCTGGAGCTAATTTCATTTGTGGAAGGAAAATGTTGTACTTAGTGCAGACACTTTTGTTTAGCATTGATATAAGGTGGAATGTATTCAGTGTGGAAGAGGCATGAAATTTCTTAAGTGAGAGCATGTGGTAGCTGTTTATTTTAGGAGAGTTACTTCAGAGCTGGTTTCAGTGGGATTTGATGACACTCAGCACCCAACAGAATTGAGACATTAAAACAAAGCTGTTCTTTGTGGGACACCATCCAGTTTAATTTTCTGCAATTACGAAAGTCTCCTGAGCATGACATGGGTTGTCCCCTTTTGACATGTCAGATGATGTTTTTTCTGTTGACTAATTCCTTACTGGGTAGAAATTCTATCTTTGTGATGCTAATACAGAGGAAAAATTAAAAGGACAAAAATAATCTCAAAACCTCAAACAAAAGAATATGGAACTGAGAAACTCTATCCAAAAAATCAAGGGCCTTCAAGTTTCTGGTATATACATTTCTTCTAAGTTACTGGGTCATTAGCAATGGAATGCTGAAAATTAATACACTTTTTGTCTAAACAAAACTGTATTTTTAAAAAATCTTAGATGTTTTAAAATGAGCTGTTTGGGCAAAATCTCTTTTACCTGATATTTAGCTTTAAGAATTATTAAGAGTTTACCCAAGTTGTACTGTAATTTAACCATCATAGTTAAGCATTATGCAAATAGTCTTTGCCTTTTCAAATATCAGTGGGAATGGTTGAATGGAGAGTCCTTCACAATGGAGGTTGGTGTCAAATTCCCTTCCAACAAGGTTATATTGGTTTTTGTGCCCCATGTGGAAATGTTGTGGAAAAAAAATTTTTGTGACAACTTGTGTTTTACCAAGTGTATCGTAACTCTTCTTTTGGAGACAAATAGGAGCTTCATAATCAAAGTTATCTAATCATGAACTTTTATCCTACCAACATCTTTGAAAATAAAACATATCTGTCAGATTTCGCATGCTATAACAGCTTTCAGTGTAGAATTTTTCTGTTAAGTTTAGAAGGTGGAAAAGGAAAATGTAAAGTTACTGTGTTTTCTTAGATTGTTAGTTTGTTATTTTGAAATCATTATATTCCTTTTACTTCTTATCTCTACCTTCCTTCTGCAGTGACCACACCTATTAATGCCATCTTGTTTTTCCTGAGAAATTCTCTTTCAGTTTTGCTAGCCCCAGTAACACACCGATTGAGTGGAAGAGCACAGATGCTAGTGTTGCTTTTAAGTTGGGGGTTTATTTTTAGTTTTAAAACTATGATTCTTAAAACTCGCTTCCTCTCTTCTGCTCAATCACTGGCAGCATTTAAAAGTTGGAAGTCAGTTGCAATGCAGTTCCAGTGGCAGAAATTAGTAACTGTAAGGAGATAATTAATCTACAAGAAATTTGGAAAATAATGCTTTGGGTCATAGAAATGCTTGTTTTGAAAATAGTGACTGAGAACTTCACTCAATGTGGTTTTCAACATGAGAAATGACTAGCAAGCTAGCAATGCATGTTACTGTGTAATTAATGATAATTTCATGACTTTGAGCACTCTGGGTATTTGAGCTGTGCTGAGAGCAGACCAAATTTCAGGACCTTGGGCTAAAGTTGAGTGCTGTAAATACCACAATACTCCTATAACAAGCTGGGGCATCCAGTTCTCTAACTTTACAAACTGTTCGTAACTCTGTGATTGATCTTTAAAGAAATCTCACTGTTACTCTGAAACTCAGATCCCAAGCTTAATGTTACAACCGTGGCTTTGTAATGATTAAAGTGTGTGCACTGGCTTCATTCTTGAGCTTTGTTGCTTTTCATCTTGTATAGTCTCTAGGAGCCTCCTTTTTTCCCTTTGTACATTCAAATCATTAGTACTGAAGGCAAATAAACTCTTGAGTCAATTTTAAAGGATCTTCCCAGAAAGACAAGGAAAGTGGGCCAACTAATTTTGAACAAGTACCAAAAAACAGTCAGTAAATTAAATCAGTTCAACTAGTCATCCTTTTGTCCCATGTGAAACTGTAAAAGCAATGTTTAACTCCAAGTTAATTTTCTAGCACTTAAAATTTATCTTGCTCTAGATCAGAAACCGGACAGTTTCGTAGCCTTCAGAGGTTCGTTCAATTTGCTCTTCTTCCAGGGACTGATAAAACATGGCTTGGAAACACTGTTTCTTTGTTAAAGTTGGATATGTGAATACCAGGAATAGCTATAAAAATTTGCATAAGAATTTACATTGTGTTGTAATTTATGTTGTAATAATTTACATTCATCCTGAATAACAATTTTCATCCAGAGGTCTCAAAATCTATTATGAAATAAGGTGGATATGGTCATTTTCAAATTGTACATGTGGAAGAAAGATTGCAAAAACATTAGGAGACCTTTTACTTTTACTAATGGTTGAAAAATTTTCAGGGTTTCCTGTTTCTCCACTGCATATGCATTGGATGAGGCCGCATCGAGTCATGTGCGTTGACATGAAAAACCATGCCATATATAAACAACTAAATTATTTTCTTAATGATTAATGTCACAATATATTTTTACTGCTTGATTCTCATACACTAATTTTAATCTCAAAGTGGGTGTCTCTTTTGCTGCAGCACAAAATTGTTTTACTTTATCATCAGCAATCTTATTTTAAATTCATAAAAGCGTCTAGCAGCTTGATAGTAAATTAAAGCTATTTCAAAACCATAATCTGTCTTCAAAATAATGTGATGATTTATTGTGAAAAGTTATAAGAATTTGTAATTCCTAGATGTATTTGATTTAATTACCTATGCCCTGGAGCCAAAAAATGAGCAAAAAGGTTATCTCTGCCTTTTCTTTTATGAAGGCTATAGCAAACTGAGAAACAGTCCTGATAGCACAAAATTCCTTAGTTATGGAAGTGGGAGGAAGAAACTCTCATCTGTGTAACTCACTATCAATAATGAGCTTTATCTTCTGACTTGTGCACTGTTAGAGCAAGTGTTTTAAAGATCTGCCTGTTGCATTTTTAATCAAGTGTGAGTCTAGATTCAAATCTTTCATGAGTGACTTTACAACTGCTGGCTGTTATCTGGTGTCTTAGGAAGCACAGCAATGTGTATGGTCTTTCCTAATCTGCAACAGAACTCTAGTAGCACTTTTGTCTTGAGAACATGATGGTAGTTGTAGCACTGGATGGGTTTTCACAGCATATTCCTCATGGAGAGGCCTAGAAATATAGTTCAACTCTGTAGGGAATGTTCTCCCAGCAAAAGAGGCAAGATGCCTCTCTGAGGCAGAAGAGAATGTGACTTCTGGAGAATACTATAGTTGGGGGAAACCTGATGGCATTGCAGAAGCACCCTTCTTTCCAGGGACTCTTGTCAATAACAGTAGAAGGGGAACCAGAATATTTATCTTAAAAGCTCTTCCATTTTTCTTTCCAGGCAAAGCAGAAAAAATGCCAGTTCTGTATCTCAAGACTCCTGGGAGCAGAGCTATTCCCCTGGAGAAGGGTTCCAGACTGCGAAGGAAAATCCCAGATATTCCAGCTACCAGGGATCAAGGAACGGCTATATGGGGGGACACGGCTTCAATGCCAGGGTAATGTTAGAAACACAAGAACTGCTCCGTCAAGAGCAGAGGCGGAAAGAACAACAACTGAAAAAAAAAACTTCTTCTGAAGGGCCTAGCAACTATGACTCTTATAAGAAAATTCAGGACCCTAATTATACCCCTCCTAAAGGTCCTTTCAGGCAAGATGTACCGCCTTCACCATCACAGGTAGCGAGGCTGAACAGATTGCAAACACCAGAAAAGGGAAGACCATTTTATTCTTGAGGTGAAGAAAATGAAGATCAACCTATCATGCAATAAGGAACATTTTCATATAAAGACTTATATTTTGAAAACTTTTTAAACTGATGGTACTAAGGAATATATCCGTTGTCTGTTTCAGTGCCTTTAAAATTACGGGCAAAGCGTCGGTGGGCCTTATGTCTTTGCCGTTCTGTCTCAAGTGTTGAATTCATGGAAGGATGTTCCACCATTTGACAATCATAGCGGAAGCGAGCAACGCCGCCCCTGCGTACTGAGTCCCGTAGCCCAGTCCAGTAGTTGTCAATGGCTTATTACTAGGATTTGTTGTAATGTGTTTTACTTTGCAGTGACTTATTACACCAACATGCAGCTTTGTGGCATAAAATTAATGAATTTGAGGTTGAAGGAAGCATTAACATGTCCTTTTTTATTTCTCTCGGGTCAGGAGGAGGGTTACATATCACTCTTGAGTGAATAAGGCTTAGCTCTGCTCTGGATCGCAGTCGCAGTTCTAAGATGTTTTATGGTGGAGTCATTACCAGTCTTCGTTGATCAATATTTAAGTGTCTGTATGCTGAAAAACTATCCTTCTCCTATTATGCACATACGCACTCTTTTTCTCTCTCTCTCCCCACTCGGAGCTTATTAAAAAAGCCTTTAGCCTGACTCATGAGGAAAACAATATTAAGCTTTCGGTTATCCTGAGAATCCTGTTACAATTGCCTTATAATCTTAATACACAGTCCATTACAAATGAAATAACTGGAGAGAGACTATTTATAGTCACAGCCAAGCCCTTGATAAGTATATTTTACTACTTTATTAAAGATGGGAAATTATGAACAAACATACAACTGAGTTCTGCTTTGCTTTACTTCTAAATGAATTTGGTCATATGACACTTGTGTCTAGGAAGAGAACTAGGGAGGGTATCATCCCATGGTCATCTGATACACAGTTGTCTTTGGGCAAATTTTGGAGGTAGCTTAAAGCAAGAGCAGAAGAAATCAAAGTTTTTCTTTGGATCAAAAAAATGAAAAGAAAACAATTTCTTCTTTTTACAGTTTGTGAAGCTTTGTGGAGAATTGCCTTGTGCTTCCGTATACTGTATTGTTGCATCGTGATGCTACATTAAAAATAAACCTTTAAATATATGAATGAGATATAAGTGGAGACAAACTGTTACACATCATCCTGAAAACATGTCAGTATCCAAAAATAACTAAAGCAAAAAAGATTGCTCTTGCAGTGAGTAATATTTGAATGTGCATATGGGATACAAGAATTTCTTTTGCAGCAGCTGTTTTTATGTTTGTTGGTCTGAACTTCATCTATTGTAAAAAATATATCTGGGTTGCTGAAGTGCCTGCAAATCCTGATGTGAAAAGGCTTGAGAATGGATCTCAGCATATTGTGTACAAAAAGGAAAGAGAGAAAGCAAGAAAGAAAATCATGTATTGCGTGATTTAAAAAAACGCCTATTTTTTTTTACTGGCACATTTTATTTTTGCGCCAACTTGTTTCTAGAATATATGTGAAATATCAGCACACATATCGTGTCTTTTATGCCTATTTGTTAATGGTTTTTGTTGTTAATAATGTACTCCGTGTTTAAAAGTTGTTATTAGTGTAAGCACAGTGACATTGGATGACAATAGCTCTTTTACGCAGAATTTACAAAACTGTGTAAAACGGCTTTCCGTGTACAGATGAAATTTAGAATAAAAAGCTGTTTCCATCCTCGTCTTGGTATTGCCTGTAGACCCTTGTGAGAACTGCTGCAGACATGGAGTTAAAAAAATATTTAACAGATGTTATTTTATCGTATTCCTAATGGTTTGCGTGTGTCTTTCTGTGAGCACTTATAAACATCAGCAAAAAAAAAAAAAAAAAGAAAAGAAAAGATTTACAGCCCAGCCGAACACCTGAAGACTATTCTCAGAGGGAAAAAACCACTCAGTTTAACGTCTTGTGTTATTTTAGGCCATACCTGTGACATTTAAAAGGTGCATTCTTAAGACTAACCTCTGTGGCAAAAATCTTCCGTGCTGTAGCAGGGAGTCCTCTCCCTGAGGAGAGCACTGTCAGAAGGGCACCCACTGTGCTCTGGCCAAATCCGGGCACGTGTGAGGAAGCCCCCTCTGCACCAAGTGTGTGTTTTGGGCTCTGATGGGAGCCCTTCACAGGAATGTTGACATGGTGAAAAACGGGAGAAGGCAGATTTATGAATAAAGCAATATTTACAGTGCCAGTGATACTGTTTCCCCGTTAGTATTGGAGCTGCATCTGGTTTTCTCCCTCTTCGCCTCATTCCTCCTTTTGTTGGACACTGCAGGAATGTCAATCATAATTCTGTATATGCACGACATCAGGCTGTTGCCATGGCAATAATAGTGTCAAATTATTCACTGTGACTTTAGCGTGGGATCTCAAAGGGAAGAGTAGCAGGAGCTGCAAGGTGGACAGGCAGCTTTTGGTGCCCAGATAAAGTAAAGGCACAATTTTGCAAAAGACCTAAATTGTAGTGGCTTGCAGTTGCGAGTGGGGAAATAATTGCATTTGCAGTTTTGCAGGCCTTGCTGTCTCATCTCCTGACTGCATTCCCAGATTACATAGTTTGAGGTTTCTATGGAATTATTTGGACAGGCAAATAATTGTAAGCACTAAAAAGTGTATCCACAGGAATGGAAAACAGGTTGAAGTCCTTTTCAAAATAAGGTCTTTGATAAACTGTTGTAGGAAAAATGGCATATGTTTGGAAAAGTATGAAGTACAGGATGTTTTACGTGTGAGGATGGCATATGTTAAAGTTTACCCTTCTATGAAACTCCTCTTCAAGGTGTTAACAATTTGCCATAATTAGATGTGTTCATGAAAGAAGGCAGATGTTCTCTTTGGGCCGTGTCTGTGTTATGTTAGTAAAGAATAAGGTCTTTTTCTGGCTTCGTCATCCTGTCTTCTTCCTGACATAGTGTAGACAGGATTTCTAATATTAACTCCCATAAGTTTCAAAGGGCGATAAAGAAGTGGGAGGGAGATATTTTAATAGAAAATGACCTTTAGTTCTGCATAGTGAATAGATTCAAAAGTTAATTGAGCTAACTACATTACTGCAGTCGTTTGTTTGTAGGCGCATTACCATTATGAGATTAATTCTGTAACGTTAGTGTATTTAAGAATGGTCACAGGACAAACTGTAAGGGAGCTTACAACATCGAGGAGTGGGTGTAAAGCTTGCACATTTTTCTCTGTTGAAACCCAAAAACCCCATCTGCAAAGCCTGCTGGGTTTTTTTATCAAAATAATTTGTTAATGCTATTGAAATTCCATGGGAAAGTTTAATGTTACTGGTGCAGAAGTCTGCTGCCTTTCTAAAAAAATCTACTTCCCCTCTTCTTATAGGGCCTCCCTGGAAACAAGAGTGCAGCCCTAGTGAGTTATTGCATGGGCCAGATGATAGTTTAATATATGTCTTTGAGAACTCTGCCATCAAAACCAGCAAAAAATGGCGTAGAGCCCAGCTGAACATGGTCGGAAAGTAAAATTGCCATTTATTGCTGGCAAGCAGCAGGAAGAACAACAAAACAAAATTTAAACCCATCATGACTGTAGATATATGGCCTGCCTTTCAAAGCTGTGCTGATGTTTCGCTCACTTTTGGTCTGTTTATGAGCGTCTGTAACATTGCATTTATGTGTGCTGGGTATGTTGAGAAGGGAAGAAACCTTGGCCAAACAAGGAAGAGATGCGCCAGATTAGCAGTGTTGGCTAAACACAGGATATTCTTGAGTAATTCAAACCTTTGAACTTGCGTTGTTGAGACTTAAAGTGAATTTGGCTATTGCGTGTCCTGGCTTGCAAGACTGTTTTAAAAATATTTCCTAATTCTATTTGCCATGCCTGACTGTTTCTACATCTTTCTCTCCCGAGTCCTTAGTCTAGTTCATAGGAGTTGTGAGGAATCTGTCAGGAATGCAAACACAGAAAAAAACTCATCTATTTTTTATGCTGCTGTTGTGCCACCACACCCTGGCCTTCCAGAGTCAATTTAAAGTTCAGCCCTAACTTGGCAGAGGAAGAGCAAGGGTCAGAAATCCAGGATGGGGGACTGACTTTGTGAAAGTAGGGTTTGTGTGTGTGCGTGTACATGCAAGCGAGTAAGTGAGTGAGAGAGAGGCAGATTGGATTCATTTGCCTTTAATACATGTCCAGCTTGAAACTCTCTTCAAAAAAGTCTTGTAGCATTTCTTCAGAGTTTTTTCCATCTGTGCAGAAACCAGCTGATGATTTGATGCACATGGTTATTGTTTCATGCCCTCTCGTACATCTCTTCTATTTTGTATCAGCATCACACTCTCTCTTTTACATCTGCTGATTGATTCTGTTGCATTTATTTGTTTCTCTAAATGGCATGCAATTCATTCATATCCTAGACTGCTTCTTGCCAGTGACTGATATTTCTTAGTTTTGCAAACTTATTTTAATATTTTTCTGTCCTTGGGAGTAGTGTTATCTTTTCTAATTTACACTTTAATCACATTTTAAAAATTGAGACTGAAAGCTTGAGTTGGGATTACAGAAAAGCAGACTAAAGAATATGGCTTTGATTTCTATTCCGTGTGCAATGCACACTTCCCAGACAGTTGTAGGGACTGTACAGGATATTGTCTGAATGAGATGAAGAAAAACATAAAGCCCAGGAGCTTTGGAGGGAAAAAAAAAAGTTAAGGAAAGTTTTGAAAATACTGACGCCCGCTGCATGCTATCATCTACTGTGAAAAAAATAATAATTCCTTAGAAGTATCAGTCTCTCTCTGACTGGCTGATGGTTTCAGAGCTCAGACAGATGTGACTGTGGTTTAAAGACAGCTGGATGGAAGAGGAAGCTGCTTGAGCCCTTCCAAAGGATGCCAGGACCCACTTCCCTTGCAAATTGGCTCCCAAAATACTGTTTTCAGCTGCACATCTTACAGCAATGAAGGTCCGGAATGGGCTTACACTCACACATTGAGCTGAAGACTGCAGTGGCATCTGTCAGAGCGGGAGGGATGACAGCCGCGGGTGATAATAGCTTCAGTTATCCAATTTTAATCTGCTTGTCTGTTGGAGTAATCTTTGTCTTAGAAAAATAAGGAAAGAAATGAAGAGTGAGGGAGAGAAGTAAAATGTGAGCAAAAAGGTTCTCCACTTCCCTTCCACTATTGTCACCGTTACAGCCACTGGTAGTTAGTTGTCTCTTTTTTATGCCCCAAAGCATAAAGAGGGATAAACTAGCTGGCAGTAACCTCAGTGCAAAACTCCTGACCCTCCTAGAGATGCACTCTATGGTGTAGCCCATAAGATGTGAATTAACAATGCAACAAGTAAAACAACTTTACTGTCCCTCCATTATTTCCTCTGTGGGTTTCCCTGGGGTGTGTTTAGATTGTAAGTCCTTGGGACTAGGGGCTGTGTTTAGTTTTTATCCTATAAAATATCCTATATTGTTGGCAGTAAGAGCTAGTAAATATTTGGGGGTTTTTCAGTATAAAAGGAGGGTTTTTAAAGTTGGTTTATATGGATTCTTGCAACAGGTGCATGACTGTCCCATTTCAGATGTATTCCTAGTCCTAGCAATATTCTCATTTATAAGTACAGAGGATATTGCTGGAACCAGTAATAGCTGGGGACTTGCTACATTTGGCAGTTAAAAAGAGTTCCTCAGGTCTCTTCATTTAACTAAG